CGAATATTAACAGGATATTTGCTTGTTATTTAAACTCTCAAAAATCCCATTATATCAAACCTACAAGCATAATTCTTGTTTCATGTTAAACAGTAGATTTGTGTCTATCAAATACAGGTTCAAGAGTTTAAGACTCTTATTGTTTTGATCTTAAAAAATATGATTTATTTCATTCCCGCCAAAAATAAAACGTAAGAATGAAAAACGTTTCAAGTATTAAAAAATATCTACCAGTGATTTTTTCATAAAAATTTCAAGAAGGAAAGTGCCATGTGTACACTTCAAAATAAAGCAAAAAAATGTATATGTCACCGACCTTTCAAAAAAGTTATGATTAATTTTCATGTTTTTTTCTCGTTCGTTTTGAAGAAAAGAGTTGTCTTTCTTCAGAACATTGAAACTGACGTCATAGTACAAGTTTTCCTTGCTGGCGCACTGTTTGAAAAAAAATGCAAATTGGACGTTTGAAACTCACATTTAAATTTTCAAGAATCAAGAATAACAACTATATTCACCTACTTTATTATCCGGTAATACAAGAGATCACATGTATGTATCAGTATCAGATCTCATGATGTTGTTGCCGCACAAAATTAACCTTCAGAAACACCATCCGTCGGAATGAAAATTTTTTCGAAATAACCTTTTTCGACGCTTTAGAAAGGAAAGTCTGTTTTTGTCCTCTCCCTCTCATTAGCAAAATCATTGAAAATAAAAAGAGAAATGAAAGATGACACTGGCAAACTTACAGACTATTTGACTATATTAGACTAGATGTGTGGTTTTTTTTTGTCGCGTCAATTTCAGAACTTCCCCCTAGCGCACTCTTTCGTTACTGTTGACAGACGGACAGACATTAGCACGGACGGACTTCTTTATACCATTATGTGTCCCGACTAAGACGAGCGTATACAAATTATTCCATCTAGGACCCCCCTCCCCATCTAGTTTGTGGATTCATTATTTCTGAATATTTAAAATATAAGAAAATTATATGTATAATATATGAATTAAAGTTTTTGATTCTAAAACGTTTTACATCCATTTAACCTATCATAAAATACGATCCCCGTTATTACTACATCACGTGCTTTGAATAAACGAGCCATAAATATAAAATACAAATAAGTTTTTAATTCAAAAATTGATTTAGAATCTAAGAAATAATTTCCCGTTGAAAACTATAAAGTATTTCTCAAAACAGGATGAAATATTATGAATCTAAATAGCTCATTTTGGAAATTAAAACAAAGACAAGGTTGTATGTATAGATTGCCGGCATTGAAAATCGAAATTTGTTTTCAATCTTTCCGGTCATTGTTGCTTTTTGAAAGTGAGAAATTTTATGTTGGATCTTATTCTTGAAGCAATTGTTTTTGTCATAAGTTAAATTTACAATAAGTTTAGTTTAAAAAACTGTCAATTTTTATTTTAATTCACATTCACTTAGTATATTAATTTCTTATATTTTTTGCCTTAAGCTTCTGTGAGATCAGGCGAAATTTTTATCATTTCTCCTTGAGACAATTTGAAATGAAACAAATGACAAAAGACAATGAACCTTTATCATTTTTATTTTTACTATAAGATTTTTCTGTCAATTAACCAGTATAGATAAAATTTAACTTCATTGCAAGATCACCATTGTTTTACGAGAATCTTAAAGAAATAAGTTAATCTCAACATGCATACGTTGCCAGTATATCGAAACTTCTAGAAAGTATTGTTTATCGGCCTAACCTTCTGAAAACTCAGTTTTGAAAATCACATATTAAGTTAAAATTCTAAGCGTAAGTCATATAAATTTACCAGTGTAAAGTTACACGGGCTAACGAGATTTTCGCCGATTTAAAAAAAAATCGATCTTTAATTTGCGCCGATTTGATTCTTTCATTAGCGCCTATTTTATTTTTTTATCACTAGCCCCGATACTTTATTTGCTATACGAGTAAATACATGTACATGTAGTAAACCTAGAATGTATATTGCATGGTAATATATGGATATAAATAGTGTTCCCTTATGTTTAAGATAATTTTGGTCATATTGTTCGAGAACTTCGTTTTGACACGAGAAAGAAAAGATGGACTTCGTTATTGGCAAGTACAACAAGTATAGAAAAGATAAAATGACAAGAAAGGAATATATCAGATATGTGGCATATAAATTCTCGGCAAGATAATTATTCATTGTACTAGTATTACATTTTTATGGATTTTATTGTGGTGCTTTGAAATGCTGTTAATAGAATTTTACTCCGTGATTTTAGTAGATGTAAACAGAGTGCACAAATATCTTTTAAATTGACTTATCCTGCTCGAAATTCTACTCGAACCTCCCCTTTGTGAGCAGGGGACAACAGTTATATACATGTTATAATTGACAATTCATAACATATGTACAACTGGCTAACGGAAGAGGTTTATATGATAAATAAAAAAATAACTTTCACCTATAATTTACCTGTACACAATCGGCGCAAATGAAAGACAAAATCGGCGCAAGTGAGAAAAAAAAAGTGAAATGCAGATCGGCGCAAATGCAAAAAGCCGAGTTCAAAATTTATATTTTTATTATTATTTTTATTAGAACGGAGGTTACAGATAGTGTAGTATCTTTTGTGTCCATTTGTGTTTAATTTCCACTAGGTATCAGTGCGACGCTTAATTCCACTTTTGTTTTAAGCGTACACCATGTTGGAATCCGTGAAAAACGCGAAATAGGACGTTATAATTTGACGTTTTTTTTTCATGGCTAGAAACAACGTCATAGAGCTTTTATGTCACTACCAAGTTGCGTTAGTTGATGCGCATCAACAATAGGCTGTTTGGTCTTTAACCTCGATATCCCACAACCCAAAAGCGTGTCATTCCCCTAATGTTCACCTGTACTAATATCAGAGACAGATTTAATGCGCAGCCTCCCCCCCCCCCCCCATTTTGTGGGCTTTACCTTAGGCAGTCAATGCCCCCTTTTGTTGGCTTAACCTTAGGCAGTCAATGCCCCCCTTTTGTGGGATTTACCTTAGACAATCAATGCCATATCCCCCACCCCCTTTTATAAAAATTTATGTCATTTATGGATCCACCACTGAATATGGAAAAAGAGTTCATAAATCGGTTTGACTTGTGTCTTATCGAATTTGTGTTGTTATTTAAATAAAATATATGTTTTAACTAAACTTTAGTGTAGCCTTAGGGTAAAAAAAATCAGAAAAAAAACTGTAATTTTATCGAACTTACCTGCACTGCATGCATATTTTTAAAGTCACAAGTACACAGTACAGTAGACCCGAGACAGAACTTTTTTTTACTTCTACAGTTCCGTCATTATACAGTACACAGACTCTCAGTCTGTCAGTTTCATATGGACTGTTATCACATTGACAAGGAGATTGCTTGCCAAAAATAACCGCGGGAAATACCGCACACCTTGAAACATTTCGGAATCGGTGTGTAACCCAGAAGCGGAATCAATTTATTAACATTGTTTTGTTATCCAGCTGGTAGCTTAATATAATTTAAATATTTAGTTTAATTAATTGTTTGAATATTTAAACATGAAATACAATCGGTAAATTCAGTTTAAATGAGAATTGATGTGCTTCGTCTCTCAGAGAATTATCCCGTACGGTTCACAGAAACGAGCGTCTCAGGCGACACATTTGGACGACACACACATAAATACAAATGTACTAATGAGTTATATACAAAAGTGACATAAAATTACCAGAGTGACCGAAAGTACAGAGAGATTATAGTGTCAAGTTGACACTTCTAAAGACTAAAGACTAACACCACAGTAGTGGCAATGGAAAGTAATGCAGATACTCTTGAAGATATATTGAAGATTGAAGATTATATCTGCTCTTTGTTGGGTTGTTGTCTCTTTGACATATTCCCCATTTCCATTCTCAATTTTACTCAGACTGACTCAGAGACGTCATATATAATGTCTCTGATTTACTTCACCAGTATAAAAGAGAACTAAAGTTAGTATTTATAGATAAATTATTTTATATTTATATATCTATTCAAAATAAAATTATGATAACAGGTATATTTCATTTCACAATCCCGTTATGAAGGTATGTGTACAATAGTTAATTAAAACGTACCATTCCCTGAACAAATACAGTCTTCATGAAACACTTGACTGCCTGAAAATTGGAAAAACCCGTCATAAACTTTTAAATTCCTTTAAATTTAAATCATTTAGGGCCTATGGTTTGTGACTTGTGAGTCCTTTTTCATTAAAATTTTACTGTCCTGACAACATTTATACATGCCTGGGCCGTATGATTTTTATGAGTTAATCATGAAGACCAAATGATCACACTAATAGTAGGCCCCCCTAATACCCAACTTTTGAAAGAAATTACCACAGGCACTAGCATTTTGTATATAATTTAATCTCTGTAAAAAATAAATATCTTCTTTTAAGTTTTAAACTGAATTTTACTGTGCGTATTGCTGTGTGTTTCTTTATTCTACATTGGCTAGAGGTATAGGGGGAGGGGTGAGATCTCACAAAACATGTTTAACCCCACCGCATTTTTTTGCCTCTCCGAAGTCAGGAGCCTCTTACCTTTGTTAGTCTTGTATGTTTTTAAATTTTAGTTCATTTATATGTTTTGGAGTTAAGTGTGACGTCCATTTTCACTGAATTACTCAATTTGTACACATTATTATGGAGGGGCCAGCTGAGGCCCACCTCAGGGTGCAGGATTTTCTGGCTTCGATAAAGACCCATTGATGGCCTTCGGCTGTTATCTGCTCTTTGTTGGGTTGTTGTCTCTTTGACATATTCCCCATTTCCATTCTCAATTTTACTCAGACTGACTCAGAGACGTCATATATAATGTCTCTGATTTACTTCACCAGTATAAAAGAGAACTAAAGTTAGTATTTATAGATAAATTATTTTATATTTATATATCTATTCAAAATAAAATTATGAAAAGAAAAGTAGAGATTATTGGGATTTTTTATAATGTCAGAATATCATGGATAAAGCCAGAGGATTCTGAATATCTGGCAAAAACTCAAAAACATGAGGAACGAACATCCTTAGACATAAATATATGTGGGTTTTGATTTTTACAAGACTTCAATAAATAAATAGGGACTTTTTAACATATTCAGCTGCAGGTACTGAGGACCTACATGTATTGATCACTTACACTTATCTGTCTGGAGTGGTATATAAACTTCACATGTCTCATAGACATACACCACACAACTCATTTTATTTCACCAGTTAAATATATGTCAAGATTGTTCATGATCATAGAATGACACTTGAGTTAATTATCAGGCAATTACCTTTCATTGTTCCACTTATTAATATTTACCACACAATTTTGGTAGTTCACTGTAATGTTCCCAATTTAAAGTTTGACAGACTATGACAATAACTGTATGTGTAAAAAAAATACTTAAAATTTATGCATTTCTTTTTTCTATATGACAGATAATAAGCAGGGCATGAACGAAGTATGGAGGATCTGTTTGAAAATTCAAGACATGAGAAAGAAAATGACAGGGAGAGATGTCCAGTTCAACGTGACCAGGACAATTCAGCAAAGTTCCAACAGATATGTATGCACTATTTCCATTCTATGAAATGTAATGCATTTAACAAAACAGTGTGCTTTAAAAAGAACAACATGCCTTTTGGCTTGCAGCATATGTGCAGAGGAAGAATAGATATAATTTGTTGTACATTAATGCTACAATGTTCTGAATGTTAGCATTAAATATTTGCCGCTGGACAACTGAAGGACGTTATGTAATGCATACAAAAATTGATAAGTCAACTGTAAAAGGTGATAAGAATCGAATAATCATTTAAATGTGTAACTATATATACGGTACATATACAAATGTACCTAAGAAGTGACTAAACAACATGAACAATAGATATATCTTGGAGCTATTCAGGAATTATCTAACAGGGTCTTTTTTTACACCAACCACCCGTAATATAAAAATTTATTTTACTTAATGAAGTATGTTTCTAAAGAAATTCTAAGGAAATTACAACCACCCCAATATAATATGACTACTTGGCATGACATCAGATGCAACTCATTCATTTGTCATTGTTACCTTTAAAAAAATAAAAAATGACTTATAAAATCATGTCTGATTCTACAATTTTTAACATTTCATTTTATACTTTAAACAAATTTGATATGAATTTGGAGGGCTTGTAATCGTGCAGTCCTTTCGCAGCTGTTTATTAAATTTTTAACACACTGTACAATTAGATTGCATAATTGGAATCATTATACCAAAAAAACTACTGTTAATGCTAATAATAAAAAAAAAAACTAATGGACATTTATTGATTCATTGATGTCTTTATTTTCTCATAATTGAGATATTGAATGATTAATGTTTAGCGCCACTTTTAACACTATGGTGCTATTTTGTGGCATCCAGTTTTTATTGATGGAGGAAGCTGGTGAAAACCATGACCTTTGGTAGGAAAACTGACAATCCTAGTCAATTAAGATTGGAGTTAAGTTCACTTGCCACGTGCAGGATTTGAACTCACAACCTTAGTGTTGACTGGCTGCTGGCTGGTGATACAGAAGTTCGACTACTTAAGACTACTCCTCCAAGTTGGCCCCATATAATCGAGATATAATAAATATATATATACAAAATTAATTAAATATCACACAACAAAAGGAATGTAAAATAAAGAAAGAAAAAAAGAAAGTTTTATACATACACACAAAGAAATATTTAAGTCACTCAGCATAAAATCCCTATGCAATGATGTTAAATTTTAATGATAACATATTACATGTATATACTGTTCATATTATTAACATTACTAAAGATGATTATGTGACATTTGTTTGTCAGTCAGTAGAAGGGGGCATAATATGTGGACTAAAGTTCATGTTCATGTACATTTATTTGAATATTTATTTTTCCAGAAAAAATCTGAATTTGAGGCAAATATATACTGTCATGTACATGATGTATATATATAAGATGGATAAAGGACATGATACTTTAGCAGTGCTTCAGAGAATCACATTTGGTGACAGAAGTTTGTAGTATTTTGGTTGTAATCAAGTTATTAAGCTGAAGGTAATTTAATAGTAAAACAAGAAATGTTTCCTATTCAAGTATACTAAAATAAAGTTTGATGTTTAGGTCAGAATATGATAAAGTTCTTTTTTTTTTGTCTCCCTTTCGATTTACTTACATATTTTCTGGCTTTTTTTTTTGTAAAGTACTGGTAAAAGTCAAAATTTGTTTGGTAAAGCACCATTTAAGTTCAGAACATGTTGTATATATAGTATATTAATAATTTAGATAAAATAAAAATAAAAAATACAATTATTTTATCTATTTACCCTATCTTTCTGCCAGGAGACAGCAAATAAGTGTATACATTTTTTGGCTTTATTGTTCAAAAATGATGTTACAAAACATAACCAAATATTGATTAAATCCTTCATACTGCAGGTTATTTCTATACTTGCATGCCTGAAATTAAGATTATAATCTCATCAAACATTATTTTCAAGTAGATAATAATATATTGTCAATTATATTATAATAATTGAATATTAGAGTTTCAGTAATTCATATATTGTCTTATTGACAGCTCATTCAAATTAAGATATAAAGTTATGAGGGTCCGGTAATTGTAGATTTGACCATGTTGACAGCAACAATAGCTTTAAAGATTTTGACATAAAAATTGAACAGTAATCTGAAACTGATGCTCAGAACCTTGAGGAATATCTAGAATTTCATTTTGTTTATAAAAACTGTATACTATACTTTTTGATAGCCCTTAGGAAAACATTTTCTTGGCTTATTTTCATTTTATGAACTATTTGAGTATTTCTTAATTCATTGACCCAGATTTAAATAGAAGGCTCAAAGGATTGAGATCTAAAAAAAATCTTTAAGACTTCCAGATGTATGTATGCCTTTCTTCTCGTTATTGCTTTGTTTGATCCTGTTCCTAAGCACATATTGACATAATGATGTTATTTTTTTTTTAATTTACAGCTTCATAGTAAAACAGATCTAGGCTACACCTTCACTATTCAAGTCAGACTTTAAAAGGAAGCCTTTTTTATTGATAGCTGAAGATGTAAGTAAATACATTAATATCTTATTTGTATATTGTACAAATTAAACAAAGGAAGAATAATTAAGAAATAATTCGCCTTTTTCAGAATCTAAAGGATTATGGGTAATCTAATTGTTCGTACACCAAAATGAAAATAACATTACCTCATTGGTTGAATTTCTATTGTTTAGAACTTTTTAAACCAATCACAACGTTTTGGTGTACGCTTTCGAAAATATTACCCAGAACAGAATGCATTTATTTAGAGTCTGAAAGGGCGAATTAAACTGGTGATAATAGAAATATTAAAATTAGGAGATGAGGTATGATATTGCCAATGAGACAACTATCCACCAAAGTTCAAAGAAAGTGGATGTAAGCAATAATGGGCAACCATAGAGCCTTTAACAATGAGAAAAATCCATAATGTATAGTCCGCTATATTTAAAGTTCAGTCTTTGGTTAAAGTTTTTTTTTATTTATCAATATATGAAACCTTTATCACGGATTATCATGTTGATGCAATTAAATGACATTTGAATAGTAGATTTTAATAATCGAGATGGGTAGAAGATACCAATGGGATATATTCAAACTCAAAGGTCGATTTACAAACTGACAAACGCCATAAAACAAAACAAAAAACGACTAAAAGACAAGCAACTGCATACACAATGTAGAAAACTAAAGACTGAGCACCACAACGGCACTAAAAATCTTGGTGATCTCAGATAATGCAGAAGGGTTAGCTAATCCTGATCCAAATGTGAAACCTAACGTGTTATTCCAAAAAAATATCTTTGCCAAGTTATACTAAGTCATTAGGCATCAGGCAACTAGCAGATTGGTTATTGACTCTTAATCTAACACTAAGATATCACCATATTCATCAACCATCAGTAATGTAAATTTTTAACAATTAATCAATAAATCTTGACCTAATGTGAAGTTTTGAAATTTGCAAATTTTTAATGAAAAGGATAGACAAGACAGTACCGGTACAGTAAAAACAACACAGACATTGAAAAATTAAGAAACATAAAGAACAAAATTTTGTCTCCTCTTTTTCATTATTTTTGTCTTGCCTTGAAAAAGCTAGATCTAGGGGTGCTGTTTCAACAATGTATAAGTTTGTGATTAGGTCATTTTAAGGGAAATTGAGATATAATGAATATATATACAAAATTTATTAGATATCACACAACAAAAGGAATGTAAAAAAAAAGAAGAAAGTTTTATACATACCGTGAAATGATACAGACAATGAAATACTAAAGTCACTTAGCATATAAGTTTGTGATTAGATGTAAGAAGATGTGGTATGAGTGCCAATGAGACAAATCTCCATCAAAGTCACAATTTGTAAAAGTAAACCATTATAGGTCAAAGTATGGTCTTTAACACAGAGCCTGAGCTCACACCGAACAGCAATCTATAAAAGGCCCCAAAAATGTTTGTCAGTTTAAGGGGAACCTTTAGTGATGGGCCAATGATATTTGGTATTCAGTTGTATTAGTATTGGCACATCACATTTCCATGGAGATTTTTTGGCCCTGTACATTTAGTCATGTTTTTTTTATGCCCCCGCAACTGAAAGTTGGGGGGCATATTGTTTTACCCCTGTCCATCCGTCCCATTATGGGTATATAGTTAATCCGCATAACTCCTCCTACAGTTTGAATCCTAGGAAGTTTTCACTTTGCTGTCTGTTTGTACATATATTGAAGGTGTGCATGTGGTCAGGGTTTTGATTTTTATTAATATTTGCTCTTTTGGGAGATAGTTGAACTTTGTCAATTTTTGGAGTATTTACTTTCATAAGAGAGCGTTTCCAGATAACTCCTCCTACAGTTTGAATGCTAGGAATTTTTCACTTTGCTGGCTGTTTGTACATACATTGAAGGTGTGCATGTGGTCAGGGTTTTGATTTTTATTAATACTTGCTCTTTTGGGAGATAGTTGAACTTTTGTCATTTTTTGGGTGTAAGCGTTTAAATGTTATAGTTATTTTAAAATAACACTTTGCATCTGCGGGGGCATCAATTGTGTCTCCCAGACACAATAATATCTCAAAGAAAGTCCTACATTGATTTTGTTATAATACAGTTACTTCAGAGTGGAGTCACTTTGTCTAGTTTTCATTTCAATTTTACACAGGCAAATCACCACATTAGTTATGATACATATAAAAAAGATGTGGTATGATTGCCAATGAGACAACCCTCCACAAGAAACCAAATGCCACAGAAATTAAGAGCTATAGGTCACTGTACGGCCTTCAACAATGACCAAAGCCCATACTGCATAGTCACCTATAAATCACAAATGTAAAACAATTCAAACGAGAAAACTAACGGCCTGATTAATGTACAAAAAAATTAACGAAAAAAACAAATATGTAACAACAAACAACCACTTAACTACAGGCTCCTGACTTGGAACAGGCACATACATACAGAATGTGGCAGGGTTAAACATGTTGGTGGGATCTCAACCCTCCCCTTATCTGGGACAGCCGTGTAACAGCACAACATTAGAACGAACTAAAAAAATCAGTTGAAAAAGGCTGAACTCAACAGATGGATACAAATAGAAATACATACAACAAAAACACAGAGTGGACGTGGATGGGTACTTGTACATCCTAACAACAAAAAGACACTTAGTACAAATCTGAAAGTGCAGATACTGACAGCTAGTTCAAAGCCAATAACAACTTAAAAAAAAAATGCATCTAAGAATAAATTATCAATCAGTACACATCCAACATCTAATGGATTTAGTGTAAAGACATCATAAACAATCAGAGAAAAACATGACCTGGTGCAATTCCAAGATACAGGAAATGACAGATTGTAGATCCATGAAAGTGCATATGTATATAATAATAATGTTTACTAGGGTTGTAAACTATAGATATATTGAGAATTTTATCACATTGTTGTTTACAAAGCAAAAGCAACACTCATATTAGAAGTAAAATAAAGCTTTCATTATGTATGCCTAAATAAGATAATATTATAACAGTAAATAAAATTCTTTTTTTTATCCTTTCAGATGAAGAAACTTTTAAAAGAGTGGAGCATTTAGAAGACGGAACAATCAAATATTATTTGTTACTATTTCAGTAACTTTTCAAATGTTAACTGTTTAGAATATTCTTAAATATAAATATAATTGAATTTAATGTGGAAAGTGTTTTGTTTTTTTTAACATTTGGTAACATATGCCTCTGTTAGGGACAATTTTTTAATCATAAGCTGATTATTTTTAGATTTGTCATGGTAAACCTGCAAGGGACACAACTCTTGTAGAATGAACATTGTAAAATAGCTAGTCTGTATTGAATTGTTGTTTGGTATACATTTGGTTTTGCATTATTTGTTGTGCAATTTCAAATTCGACTTCTTTTCAAAAATTGTATAAATTTAAAATGAAGCTGACTTTGACATTGGTATTCATACTTTTAGATTTTTTATGAATTGTCAAACAAACAAATTATAAAGCAAGATTTTCAAACAAACAAAAAAAGAAATACTAACAGGAAGATTCGAAAGGTTTCAAACATGTAGAAATAGTCTCATGGTTTAAATAAGATTTGGATTTATATATATATATATATAAGTTTTAATGGATGCTAAACATCCAGCCACAAATATTACATACATATTCAGGATGATAACAGGTTAATAAAACATGCATATGAGGTAACTGATAATCAATATAAGACAATTTATTGATGTATAACTCACTTTTACAGTACTTTTACCATAAAGAACCAGAGAAACATCTTCAAATAGAGATGACCAAGAACAAAAAATGATATGTCAATGAGTGCAACAAAGACAATATTTCATTTTTCCTAGTGGCTGCTTCACATAGTCTTTTTGTATTATCACGTTTATATCACGTGGCTTTATATTAAACGTGAATATCACGTTGTATTATCACGTTGATATTATGTGGATTTATATACAACGTGAATATCACGTGTGACGAACGTTTATTTCACGTTGTGCTCACAACGTGAATATTACGTTTCTGCTCGTTTCACGTTGTACTCACGTGGTGTGGAAAAAGTGAATATCACGTGATTCCCATGTTAAAATCACGTTGGAAAAAATTGCCTGTGTACTAGTCCCCAATGATATGTGCTCATCGGAATAATAATTTTTCAAAACTTTAGTTGAACAACGACCTCCCAAACTCAATATGCTAGCAAGCAACCACGAGGTATCTGCTGCGGTATTGAATAACATTACGGTAACTTGACACCTGTGTTTTTGGTGTACTTTATTGATAGTGCTGTGGATGGATATGTGCAGGGATGTGGATGGATGTCGGTGCTTGTGTTGATGTGTGTGTGGGTCATTACTCGTTGAAATTCGCATGGCATCATATGTTTTACATGATTGAATTCCAAAGGTATAACAAGCAAAATGTTATTGTTTAACCTTACACTTTAAAAATCAAGTGATGCCACTCTGTCCAATTATATTCAGTAGTTCGAATCCACTACCTCCCTCAATCGAGGTTAGCACACTACCACGGCAGTATCAAAATACTTTACTTGACACCTGTGTTTTGGTATACATTTTTGCTGGCAGAGGTGGGATCTCCTATATCATGTTTTGCCTCTCAAAATCTGCAAAATGTTTACTTTTCGAGATATTTCAGTTTGGTTAAAGCATTATATTTGGTACTCTAAAATCTTAAAAATGATAATCTTTCAAATATAAAGTAGTGATAACAACCATTTGTGTGAAGAGCTCAATAACTTATAGACTTTTAAGTGATACATTGTTTAGCGAATGTCGTAACAAAATTGTGTTGTGTCTGTATATGTATACAAACATTATATTGTTGATTTTTTCTTGCAATTATAACACAGTTTTCATAAAGCCGTACACAATAGATCTTGCAAGAAAAAAAGCTGATCCAAGTATTTGCTTTCAACTAAACGTAAACAAATACCGTTAAACAAATCCCTGCTATTTATTTGAAGTTTAAATCGATTATATAAAAGTTATAAAAGTTATAAAAGTGTACATTTAAATCAAGCTTTAGATCTGTTTTTTAACTAGAGACACATGCACACACTGTCAGTATATATTGTGATCCATGATCATAAACATGACAAAACGGTTAATTTAATCTATTCATTACCAAAATAAGTTCAATTCATACCGGGTATGTTGAAGAGAAAATTTTAGGAAATTTGCTAACCAAATGGTATTGTTAGTATATTTTTTAACCAATGTTGATTACAACAAGGTTTAACATCGATATCAGTCTGCACCACATGTGTTTCATACAAATAGTCTAAATATAGTTGTAATAAACATAAGACATGTATGACTATCAAATACAGATGTACCTAAACAGTGCAGTCAAAATCCTCAAGCGTGCACTTGTCACTATACACGAAGAAGTTGCTGTCTTGTTTAAGATAACCTTAGTCGTATTTGGCTCAATGTTTTGAAAATTTTGGGTCATCAATGCTCTTCATCTTTGTTTGGCTTTCTTTACTATTTTGACCTGAGCGTCACTAATGAGTCTTATGTAGACGAAACACGCGTCTGGCGTATTAAATTATAAGCCTGGTACCTTTGATAACTATTAGCATGTCGAAAGGTTCTATTGTATTGTTTATTTGTGTATTTCTCTGTGCTGAATGTTTTTGCATTTATTTGTACTGTAGTCCCATCATGTAATGTTGTCATTTTAGTGTTATATTTAACATTGCCATACTAGCGCGATGATTGGCTAGCAACAAAACCGGGTCAATCCACCATTTTTTCTTAAAATGTCCTGTACCAAGTCAGGAAATGACAGTTGTTATCTTATAGTTCGTTTGTGTTGTATAGCCGTTTGGTTTTTTGTTGCACTTCAGAGTGTTTCTGTTGTTTCGTTGTTTCCCTCAGTGTTAGTTTGTAACCCGGATTTGTTTTCTCTCAATCGATTTATGACTTTCGAACAGCGGTATACTACTGTTGCCTTTATTAAGTACTTGTAAAATGTAAGAACTGGCTTTTCTTTTAAATGTACATGTGTATTTCAAACAATGTCATTAATTAAGTATTAAGTACTTAGCTGACGATACCCTCATCGACTAAGAGTTCATCTTTAGCGGTTCATACCCAATGGTATATATAAACTGAGGAATCATGAAAAATATATACACATTTGAAGTTGAATCCTGAAAGAAATATGCATCTTGCTTGAAATATTTTGTAATAACACTAGGTAGATTATGATTCATGTTAGCATAGAAATAAACCCCAAAAGAGTGCCGCATAATTGGTGCTCATTGGAATTCTAATCTATTGATTTAAGAAGATGTGGTATGAGTGCAATTGAGAAAACTCTCCATCCAGGTCACATTTTGTAAAAAGTAAACCCTTAGAGCTCATTATATATTTCATATCATCTGAAATCAAGAACGACATCGTCAAATGAAAATAATGTTGTTCTGAGGTGAAATTACTGCTGTTAAAAAAAGATGATCTTGATAGAAATATGCACAGGGGATTTGCGTGTGTTTTATTTTTAATCATTCATGTAAACTGAAAGTTTTCAGATAATGCATTAAATAGTATTAAAGATAAAATCAGATCGAAAAATTAAACTCTTAGTTTTTCAAAAATTTACAATATACGTTTAGGGAATTTCCGTTTAGAATTTTCCCCAGAGTTCGTTATTTTTGTTAATCTACTTTTTACAGAACTTTTTTTCCAAAAGTATTTTGTAAATTTAGCATTCTCTAAGGGGATTACAGAGTTTCAGCAGTGACTCAAATCAAAGACTTGAAAGTAAACTAATTGTTGTTGCATACAAAGCATCTTTTTGTATAAATGATGTACACTGGTCGCAAAAAATCCCAGAATATAGTGTAAATACAGGATAACTTTTATAAATATTCATAAATATTGTGTTCAATAAGAATACAAAATCTTCATCAAATTTAACGAAATATTAAAAGTTAGTGCTAATTATATATATTTGATTCAATAACTAACATTTTAATCAATTATAAAGTTTGTGCAAAAATAAATGCATTTCATTTAAACAATTTGTCACATATTTGCACGTGGCAAATTGCCAAAGACTGGTTGATTATAAACAGAACTGTATTGTGGCTGGGCAGGTGCACCGTATCCCTGTTGTACTCCAGGAGCCGGCGGATAAGCTGGCGAAACCTGCTGTGTTTGTGGATACATCATGCCGTACGCAGGAGGAGGTTGGGCAGAATAACCATATGGATTCATAGGCTGCATAGGCTTCATATATCCTGAAATATCGAAAAATAATATTGTATAGGAAACATCGTTTTCATAGAACCTCTATACAATGTTGATAATAAAAATAAATCTTCAAAACTTGGGGTAGACATACCTCTATGCAAATAAGGTAACTATGTACTACTTCGTCCATTATCATCCCTCAAAACCCTTCTATAACAAATTAATATACCAGCCCTAATTAATTTAATTTTACCTGGGTTATGACTGGTGTTTGTAACAGCCACATGTGTTCCTATTCCCGTGCCTGTTGTTGTCACTACTCTTCCTGGTCTACCTTTGTTACATCCTCCTTTTATACATACAACGACAATTACAACAAAAATGGCTGCTGCTGCCAATACACCTATAATCAATCCTGCTATGGCACCTCCGGAACTGTGAAAAATGTTAAACATTTATTACGTTTAGTAGTTTTTATCTTTACATGTTCAAGGCATGAAAGTTTGAATAATCTTTAGAGTGTTTTTTTGACAAACAAGGATGTGCAAGCAGAAATTGCATTACATAAAATGAACAGTATCAATGAGATACTTATGCAAATGTAAATTAAATCAAAGTCAGATGTACCATATCAAAACAATGTACGTGTTACAATAATTCAATACATCAGACATAGTCAATACCTATTGCTTACAGTTAATGAGAAGTAGACCTATCCACGGAAACTAAACGATGGCCAATGAACCATGAAAATGTGTTAAAGGTCAGATGAACAGACTTGCATATCTTGCATACACTACATATATATAGATGAAAATTGATCAGTTGTTTATAGTTTCTGAGTAATGGACTTTTGACGTTGACTTTTGAACGAGGAGGATGAGATCAAGGTCAGACTGACATTTACATATTGCAGTACACAAACCAAAAAGTTTAGATCAAGACTACAGAACCATGACGGATGAAAATTTCTTAACATGATGTATCTGTTTATAATTTATAAAGCACCAATAATAGTTTCGCCGTCGCCGCTCGCGGACAGTAATCTATACGATTTACTGAATGCACTCTCCTGACATAGATATAAATATCTGTAACGATAGAATTAATATGACCAAAAAGGGACTAAAATAGCAATGGTAATATAAGGTTAAGCTGATTAGTTATTCAATAAATTCAACATTAAAGCAGATTGTCAACCTTTTTATTTAACATCATGATGTAAATAAATTGCAATTGTAATTGTCGTGAGAAAATCTTTTCAAAGACGATATGACCTTGTCCTTTCCAATTGTTTGTTTTCATTTTCGTGACGTTGCTGTTCCATTTTCTCTTTCTGAACGGTTGCAGGAAACACAGTCAGGATACAAATGCATAGGAGTATTTACAGTGATGTCAAATGATTCAATGCTAGTAGTATAGATACTATCCAGCATGTTTACCAAATTTTATCACAAAGATAGGAATTCAATGAGGGGGATTGCACTAAATGGGACCGTTGGGCAGCAGGGAGCAGCCCATATAAAAATGCATGGACATATTTTGCCGAAACCCTGTGGCGACAACATTTTGCCACGGAAACATAACAGTTTAATTGGCAAAAAGTATTTCTCATTACATGAAAGATTGTCGATATGCATAAAAATTGAGAATGGAAATGGGGAATGTGTCACAGAGACAACAAAACGACCAAAGAGCGGAAAACAGCCGAGGGCCACCAATGGGTCTTCAATACAGCGAGAAAATCCCGCACCCGGAGGTGTGCTTCAGCTGGCCCCTAAACCAAAATATTTACTAGTTCAGTTATAATGGACGTCATACTAAACAACGAAATATATAAAAGAAACTAAAAGTAAAAATCATACAAGTCAAACAAAGGTAAGAGGCTCCTAACTTGGGACAGGCGCACAAATGCGGCGGGGTTAAACAATTCTTGTGAGATTTCATCCCTCCCCCTATACCTCTAGCCAATGTAGAAAAAACAAACACACATTAATACGCACAGTAAAACTCAGTTTATAAGAAGTCCGAATCCGATGTCAGAATAGGTAACAAAGGAAACTACACAAAATGACAATGATACATAAATTAATAAAGGACTACTAGCAGTTACTGACATGCTAGCTCCAGACCTCAATTAAACTGATTGTAAGATTGCGTCTTCATCGTATGAATATCAAGCACAATCCCTACCGTTAGGAGTTTAGTATCATACCATCATAAAATATATGAGAAGAACTTAACCCGTAGCATGACAACAACTGGTTTTAGAATAAATGTGTTTATTTCCGAAACAAAGACCCTATAAGTGAATCAATATTAAAGCCAAAATATGCCATCTTTAATGACCTGACAACAGTATCATAACTATATGCTTTCTTAATAAGTCTGTTTAAAGGTTTTTTAGCTTTTGAGGTGAATGCCGACTTTTTGTTCTTTTTTAAGAATATTACCATACAAGATTGGAAATACCTGATCGTATAAGAAGTCTGCATGTTGATTTATATTTACGAATGATTTCTTAGTACCGATGATAAAATTTAGTAAATGTTATAACTAGCTTGTGATATCGAAAACCCTGGTGTAATAATTTTTCAGTTATGCATAGAATGTTACATACACGAGCGAATCGTGTAGTTATTATGCAATAATATCGTCGGAATGTATGAATTTGTCTGTTTGTTTGTTTATATAGGAAAAACAAATGCGGCATGATTGCTAATGAGACAACTCTCCACCAGAAACCAAATGACGCAGGAGTTCGCAACACAGGTCACCGTACGGTCTTTAAACTAACGGTCTGATGTTTGCTAAAAACCATATACGAAAACAAACAAACAAATATGATGCACAGCAACACAAAAATAGCTTTTGTATCGTCATTCTTCATTCATTAATTTGAAATAAACTAATACTTACATAACATAGTTTCCGTAGTCATAATAATAGTAATAACAATATTCGCTTCCATATGATCCGCTACAGTGTCCACTACAGTAGGTGCTGTAATACCCGGAATAACTGTTGTACTTGTAGCACGTGTCGCATAGTACTTCGTCTTCAAAATAAAATAACAACCATTAAACAATAGTTTGCAGGATTATGTTGAAAGCATTAAACTGACATGTAAACGACACAAAAATTAAGAAAAAACAAAGAGAGTATAAAAAGCCATGCACGCAAGGACAGCATTATGAAAAGCAACTCTTTTTGGAGGCAAATGCTCTACATTAACTGATTATAACGCATATAAAGTTTTTTCATTTCAATTGCGTTTGTTTTCAATATAAAATGGATTCAATTGATTTGAAATTCCAGACGTCTGATGCTGTGGTATCAGAATGTGGTTTAGCTTTTCTATATGACAAATAGGCTTCATGAGCTCATAAACACTTATATAATATTTTGGCTTTTCAAATATTTTGGTCTCAATTATTACTGAAAATACAATGATTGCAATGATATATAAATTTTGTTATAATTACACATATATTAAAGCAGGTACATGTATAAACCACATAATGCTCAATTCGTTCTTTTCGGGTTTGTTTTTTACCTGAAAAGGATCTCCTCTAAATGTCTATTCTATGTAAAGTTTTTATCGAGGGTATCGCTTCGGAAAATATAATTTTTCGAGGGTAAACAGGCTAAGTCTAAACTAAAACCTCAGACAATGCATGGTAATAAATGTTTTATTTACCATTTTCTTTAATCTTTAAAAAACAGAATAAATAAGCACATGTAATTTCCAATACTTTTTTATTTTACAATTGCATGGCATAAATACTTTAGATGTATTTCTCAATAGTGCTTAATATCCGTTTGCTTATAAAACATAAATGTTAAAAATTAGTTGTCCCTTTGTCTCTGTTATCAATCTGTTCAAGTAATTGCCACTAGATAATTAGCGTTTTGGCTAATAGACAAGCTATAATTGTTCTTATATATAACTATAAATAACGATATAACTTTATCTTTAATTTCCTAAGAGAAACTATCTTTTGAAGATTTTCCTTATGTATGTCATCTCGGGTAGACTGGATTCCACTCGAAATTATCAGCAACTATATTGACATTATTTTGGTACGATTTACTAAATTATAAAACATACCGCAACCATTGCAATTACAATTACTTTTTTTAAACTTTTGAATGATATTCCTTTTTTATGTCATTTGACGTGGGACATTATATATTGGAATACTATTCTAAGATTTGACTATGATTTACTTGATTGTTGAACATTTGTAAATAAAATGATGAGTTATATTTGCTTTATGTCTCTGTTTAGCTGACATATAATATCAGATATTCTGATGATGGTATATGAACGAAGTATTGGCTGCTACACGTTCCCGGAGGTGTAGACACTGACCCTTCCTGTTATACTGAAATTACAGTGTATAAAAAGGCTCATGTAGATTGTCTCTTTTTACGATTAAACAATATCATCATCATTACTGAACTCACCTATGATAAAAAGAAAGACTAAAATCGCATTAAACATAATCATTCGAAATATTATCTGTAGAAATTCATGTAGTTAATTCTCACTATCTCAATATTGGAATTCAATATAACTACTTGGAAACTACATAAATAATAACTGTGACGTATAGAAATACAATGAAGCATTCAATTTTAACTATTTAAATATATTATACATACATTTCGCAATAAGGCTCGATAGTTTAACACAATGTGTGACTTGCATCTTAAAATCAATAATTGTGTAATATACAGGTTTTATATTTTTTGGCATTATAGAATTTTTCATAATGTTTTATTGTTCACTGGAACTAGTTTATCCCCCAACAAGCTATCAAAAGCGTGAAGTATTTGTTTTTTGTAAATACCATAATACTCAACCACCATTGTTGAAAATTAAAAGTCAATAAGATAAGCAATCTCAGTGGAATTATGCCCAAAAACTGTCAAATTGAATATTGAAATTTCTATTATCAAATTGAAATTGGTATGATCTAAATTTGATTAAAATTGTGTTAAATCAACAATAATGAAACTGTTGCATTTTGAATAAACTTTGGCGGCAAATGCGTGAAATACAAAACACAGACCTCAATTTCATACTCATAAAGTTATTGGTTTAGATATTTTTGTTTTTTAACGAGAGACACATGCAAACCATGTCAGTATATATTGTGATCCATGATCATTTACATGACAACACTGTTCATTTACCGAATTCTATTCAATTCATATGTTTAAGCGAATATTTTAGGAAAAAGAAAACCTTATTGTGTTTTTTTTTTTAACTTTTTTTGTTTAACCAATGTTAAGGGAACAACAAGGTATAACACTGGTTTCAGTCTGCACCACACGTGTTTCCGAGAAAAAGTCTGGAAATACAATAAACATAAGAAATGGGTGACCATCAAATGCAGATGAACCTAAACAGTCAAAATTATCAAACGTGCACTTTACATTAAACATGTTTTGCCTTGCTTTAATACTAAATTACTGTTGAAAAAATTCGTGCACTTTCAATGTTGACATACTATTCTTTTAACAATCGAACTCGCCTACTTTATGCGTAACCCATCTCTGGCTACGGGTTTAAATTGAAGGTCACATAAATACGGAGTCATTACGGCCGAATTATTTACTTGCAAGTGAATATATATTCAGCGATGTTTCTAAGTTTATGTTGACAAAATTGAACCAACTGGCTGCTAAAAGCAAATTATTAATTCACTTTTTCACTTTCATTAATGATTGAACAAAAAAAATAATTTTTTTTTGTTAATATCTCCTAGTAAATGCCCCTTTAACTACCCTTATGTGAAAGATTTAATCTTTGAAGAAATATGCAACTTTCATTCATATTTTTGATAAATTTACAATACTGTGGATCATTTTTATTTGTTGGATACCAATTTTTGTGGATTTCACGAGAACAGGGAAACCACGAATTTAAACGTTCAACGAAATGCAAATTTTCTGTATGATTAAATGCAGACATTTGGAAAACCACGAAACCAAATATCCACGTAAAGGCAAGTTTTCCTCAATCCACGAAAGTTGGTACTCACGAAAATAAATGAATACACAGTAACTTATTTTTTTAAAGTATCTTGTAAATTAGGCGTTCGTTAAGGGAATTTCAGCAGCGACACAACTCGAAATCTCGAAAATATCTTACATGTACTTCTTGATGCATACAAATCATTCATTTGTATTAATGATGTACACTATTCGGAAAAAAATAGAATATACAACAAATACAGATTTTCTTTTATAAATATTCATAATTACTAATTTCAATAACATTCAAATTCGTCAAATCAAACGAAACATTAATGGTTAGTACTAGCTATATACATTGATTTAATAATAAATAGTTTACCCAATTATATAGATTGTGCAAACAATAAATGCATTTCATATAAACATTTTTTAACATTTTACATATTTGCACGTGGCAAATTGCCAAAGACTGGTTGATTATGAATAGAACTGTATTGTGGCTGGGTAGGTGCACCGTACCCCTGCTGTACTCCAGGTGTCGGTGGATAAGCTGGCGAAACCTGCTGTGCTTGTGGATACATCATGCCGTACGCAGGAGGAGGTGGGGCAGAATAACCATATGGGTTCATAGGCTGCATATATCCTGAAATATTGAAAACATGAAAATTAAATGTAACCATTTTTATATTCTATGATAATTTAGTGCAATGCTCTACAAAGTAGCCGTCATTAATCCAAACTAGTAATAGTAGTAATTAAAGGCAAAGCTTTGAAAATAAATGTTTTAAAGGAAACATTAGAAGTTTTATGAAATCTATACAATGCTGATGAAAACGAAAAACTAATAAGATATCGTTATTGTATGTTCATGTTCAATGATATAAAGGATCAGATGCATGAGTATCAGTAGAAATTGAAATGCAGATTGTGTTATTTTCATTATTAATCGAGACTAGCAAATTGATGTATGCGATTTGTGCTTTTTTGTTACATTTGTTTGTTTTTATAGGGATTAAGATGATAACATAATGTTGACTGCTGTACCCCTATTTTTGACATTTTTACCTTGTATCTGTTTTTTTGTCAATGCATCGTTGCTAATATAATGGAATTTGATTAGACTGTCATACAAGTGAGAGGTTTAGCTAGCTATAAAACCAGGTTTAATCCACCATTTCTACATAAGAAAATGCCTGTACCAAGTCAGTAATATGACAAATGTGTTTGAGCTTTTGATTTAGCCATTTGATTAGGGACTTTCCGTTTTGAATTTTCCTCTGAGTTCAGTATTTTTGTGATTTTACTTTTAAATACCTTTGGTCTTTATAGCAAAACTTTGCAACGTCATTCGATTAGATAGTATTAACTAGTATACCTTTGATATTTTTATTGATAAATTTTCACCCCCGCTATTTAAATAAAGCAACAGAAGTATACCGGTGTTCAAAAGTCATAACCCGCTTGAGAGAAAGCAGGTACATATAGCCAACACCATTTAAGAACATTTAATCAAAAGCATTCTTGCAGGAAACATACAAAGCATCAAATAGTTATACTTGGAATGTGAGTTATATTTACAAGAATACCACTGTGGTCCGCAAGATGACTGCTTGTACAACAATTTAATAAACAAGAGATTGTCATAATGCCGTCAAAATGTAAAATTACAAAAATTCAAAAAGGAAAGTCCCTAATCAAATGGCAAAATCAAAAGCTCAAACACATCAAACGAATGGATAACAATTGTCATATTCCTGACTTGGTACAGGCATTTTCTTATATTTTGGTCTCAATCATTGCTGAAAAGACACCGATATAATAATATAATAAAATAATAATTATGTCATAGTTGCACATATCGTAAAACCAGATATATTCAACAGAATTCTCAATTCATTCTTTGCAGTGTTCAGCTCTTGTTGTAGCTGAAGAGGAACTTCTGTAGATTTCTTTTCTGTGTAAAGTTTATATCGAGGGTATCGCCTCGGGAAATATAACTTTTTCGAGGATTAACATGAAAACATGAAGTTTTAACTTAGACAATGGTAATGAATGTCTGTTATATTTGCCATTTTCTTTTTCCTTAAAATCCAGAGAAAAAACAGGCACATGTAATTTCCGATATTTTATGAATTCACAATTACATGACATCCTTTAGATATATTTATTAATAGTGCTAAATACCAGTTGCTTAAACATAAATGTTAAAAATAAGTTGTTCCTGTGTCTTTATTATCAATCTGTTCAAGTAATTGTCTCTATATTTTTTCTTATATGTATAACGATATTACTATATTTTTTTTTATTTTTCTAAGAGAATTTATTATTTGAACATTTTTCAAACTATCTCATTTCGGAAAACTGCTGTTCTAGATATGAATTGGATACTTTCAATGTTCTAGGATATATTGTTTTGTTTTTTTAATCAAATGTTTTCACAGGGAAATTTTACTCATATGAATTTCACATGAATTTAAATTTGAATTCATGATAATCTCAGGTGAAATTCACTTGAATTTCACCTCAACAGAACTGATATGTGAAACCCACTCCCTAATCAAATGACAAAATCAAATGATAAAACACATCAAACGAATGGACAACAACTGTCATATTCCTGACTTGGTACAGGCATTTTCTTATGTAGAAATGGTGGATTAAACCTGGTTTTAAAGCTAGCAAACCTCTCATTTGTTTGACAGTCGCATCAAATTCCATTATATTGACATCGATGTGTGAACAAAACATACAGACATAATAGGTACAAATGTCAAAATAGGGATACAGCAGTCAACATTGAGGTTTTTTCAGTATTTAAAAATGACAAAACATTATATAACAAACTACATTGTTGTCGCACCTTAGGGGAAATTGATTTTTAAATAAAGTGAAAACAAATTTTATGTTTTTGTCGTCTTGAAAGGGCCACCAGTTTTACTTTCAATCATATTAAGATATTAATGCACATGATTAATGCATTTATCAGGTACATAAACACAACAAATATTTCATTTTAACAAATGTTATCGCTACAATGTTGTTCTATGCAAAGCGTTTGAAAATATGAACAGAGAATCAAAATAACAAACATAAATGACAAAGCAAACCTCTATGCACAAAGAATGTAATTAAGTAGTAGTCCTTCCGTCCTCACCCCTAAAAAACCGTCCTTTCTTTTATAAATTAGTATACCATCCCAATTATCATTTTACCTGGGTTATGACTGGTGTTTGTAACAGCTATTTACCTGTGTTATGACTGGTGTTTGTAACAGCTATTTACCTGTGATATGTCAGATGTAATATCTCAGGATAATGTACACCTCATAATAACTCTATACACCCGATACAAATAATACCAATTGCTTAGAGTTTTAGTGAAACCAACCTTACCAAGAAAAATAAACTTTGACTAATGAAGATGAAAATGAGTTTATGCTCTGACACAAAATATATTTGATCAATTATTTATAGTTTCTTAGAAATATACTCATCCACTAAGACAACGTTGACTTTTGAACAATGAAGAGGAGGTCACATTCAGGTAAGACAAACCTTGACTTGCAAGAATCCTTAATGTAAGGACAAATATGGTTATCCTT